CCGCAGGTGACGCCCCCCGCGCCCCCCACCCCGACGGAGGGTGAGGAGAGACTGAGCACCGGGGGCACGCCGGCCTCCTGAGCGCAGCCTGCACCCCGTCCTGCCGCCACCGCGCTCTGGGACCGGGTGGGGGGCACCCCCCCTCCTCACCCCCTCGAGGGTAAGCACCACCGGGGACTCCCGGTGCTGGGATGGATGGGGACTCACTCCTGCCCCTCGACGGCTCTGCTGCCCGCCAGCCCCGGACCGGCTCCCAGCAAGGCCAGGCTGTGTCCCCGGCAGCTCCGGATGGCACCGGGGGTCCCCTCCCGTCCCGTCCCGTCGGGGACGCCCCGTCCCGCCCCCGGTACCACCTCCCTGCGCCGCGGCCTCCCGCCTCTAGGTGGCGCGCTGGGCGCTCAGCCCGGAGAGGCCCCGCCCCTCTGTCCGCCCCGTCCAATGAGCGCGCTGTGTTTCGGCGGGAAGCGGGGAGGAGGGGGGGGTGTCAGCCGGAAGAGACGCTCTCGACTTCCGGTGGCGGCCGGAGCCATGTCGGAGGGGCGGCCCCTGCGGCTGCTGAGCCTGCACGGCTACCGGCAGAGCGAGCGCCGCTTCCGTCAGCGCACCGGAGCGCTGCGCAAGGCCCTGCGGGGCCGCGCGGAGCTGGTGGCCGTCAACGCCCCGCACGTCGTGCCCGGCGGCGAGGGCGACGACGACGGGGACGACCCCCCCCGCGGCTGGTGGTTCTCCGGGCCCCGCACGTTTGACGCGGGGGAGGTGGCGGCGGCGCCGGCGGGGCTTGAGGAGTCGCTGTCAGCCGTGGCGGCGGCTCTGGCGGAGCACGGACCCTTCGACGGGCTGCTGGGCTTCAGCCAGGGCGCGGCGCTGGCCGCCATGGTGTGCGCCCTGCGGGCCCGCGGTGACCCCCGCTTCCCCGTGGCCTTCGCCATCCTGGTGGCCGGTTTCGCCAGCCGCGCCCCGGCTCACGGCCACTTCTACCGGGAGCCCATCGCCCTGCCCACGCTCCATGTGGTGGGCGAGGCCGACGCCGTCATCGCCGCCCCCCTCAGCAGGGAGCTGGCCCAGCGCTTCGTGGAGCCCGTTGTCCTCACCCACCCCGGCGGGCACTTCGTCCCTGCGGCTGCGCCCCAGAAGAAGGCCTACCTGGAATTTTTGGACCGATTCCACCCCGGGCAAGGCCAGGCTGATCCCCCGGGGACTGAGGCTGTTTGATAACAGTCTCTCTAATAAACGGGGCTCTGGTGAGCCGTGTACAGCCTGCCATCTTGGTGAAAAATCCCTGTGTTTCCATGCTCTCCAGAGGGGCCAGAGAGTCCTCATCAGCTCACTGTGCAGTGTCAACCCAGGGTCAGGCTAAATGGCTCTTCCTTAACTCCCTTTCCTTGTTTTGCAGCTTTGTTGTGTACGGGGGTGTGTGGGTTTGATGGTGAGGGGTTTGAGGACGGGAGGGTGACACTGCTCTGTGCGAGGTGCTTTCAGAGACTTGAATAACTGTTCTGATATTGGGCTCCCTCAGGTCAGCCACGGGAAGTGTCTGCAGAGCACACAGCTCCTGCAGGGGTTGTACCCCAAAGATTTGTGTTTTTTATTGCTGGTGAAAGCTGTTAAACCAACCTTCCAGCTGGTCTGGGCCTAGAAAATGCTCTCATCCCTGGCAGTGCCAGGGCTGGTGTTCGCTTCAGGAATTAAAGGTCTGCTGGCTCAGCGTGCCTGTGTTGGGAGACTTCTCTATCTTCCTGTGTACAAAGTGCCTTCGTGAACAAGAAAAAAAATTGTCACTACGTTTTGTGGCTCTGATGTTTTCGAGAAGCACACGGAAATCTTTATTGTCGTTATAATTGTAAGCATCCCTCTTGGCTGCTGCTGGGGCAGGCTGGGCTCTTAGCTTCTCTTAACCACGGCTCTCCTTGGGGATACAGTGCAGTGTGGTTGGTACAAGAGAGAAATATGGTGAAACCTCTCGATTTCTCCCCTGCTTGCACGGCAGTGGGGTCTAGGGAGCAGCGGGGCAGTGTGGGGTATGAAGGATGCTGTGGGGCAGGAGTAGGGACAGGAGACAAGCACTTTGTGTTCGCCCAGCCTGGAGCAGGCCTGGGAGATGCTGTGGATTAAAACCAATGTGGCAGTAGCCGAGTGGTTCCCCCTCTTGTGAGTTTTACCCTCTGGTTTGTTGCCACTTACCGATGGTGGGAGGATGTGGCTGGTTTCCCTCCAGCCCAGCCCCAGGCTGGCCTCACTCCTGGGGGGCTGGTGGGGTTCAGGTGGCTTTGCCACCTCGCAGAGCGGCATGGGGTGAGCTGTGCCACCTCTGTGCTGCTGTGATATGAAGTCATCAGGTGTCTGTCACCGCGTCGGGGACACTCGAGGCTATTTTTTGGGGGGGGAAGGACGCAGCTTGGGGCTGTGTGCTCCGGGGAGCGAGGCCGAAGGGGGCAGCCAGCCGTGACAAAGCAGCAGGGCTTTTGTCTCCGCCGCTCCCCCCCTCCACCTCAGCCCTCCGTGGCAGCAGACAGCACTTCCCCAACCCCGCCATTCGTTCATTAGCTGTTTAATTATAGAGCTACCCCCTCGCCGCGGTGGTCTCCCAGCGCAGCATCTCGCCCTCCTCCCCCCAGCCTGGCTCGGAGGAGGCACTGCAGCCGTGCCCGCTCACCGCCAGCCCGCACTGCGGCCCCGCAGCCACCCCCCGGCTTCTCCCCGCTGCCGGGGGGGGGCCACCGCCGCGGCTCCACGGTGGTGTGACGGGAGAAGGAGCCCAGGCGTGGGGTGAGTGAGGGGAACGGCGCCGGCCCTGCAGGAAGCTCCCTCGGGTGGGTTGGGGAGGGGTGTTTGGGGAGGGGTGGGTGACCCGAGCTGGGGGTGTTACGGTACCTCCTCTTCCCAGGGCGTGTGAAAAGATGGCTTCTTCCAGGTGGCTCCTGTAATCAGGTTTAAACAAATTAATAAAAGCAAATAAACGCCCCCCCCTCCTCCCTCCCTCAGCCACGGGGGGTGCCTGTGCCAGCGGTGGAGGATGGAGGTGCTCTGCCCCTGGTGCCGTGGGAGGAGGGAAGCGGCTCCCGTGGGCATCACTGTGTGTCCCTGCCAGGCAGAGGGGTTTGCCCTGGGAATGCTGCCCCCCCTCCCCGTTTTTTCACCAGCCAAATGCCTTCGTGCCAGCCCCTGCCCACCTCTCACAGATCCAGGCCTGTTCTTGGGGCACAGCCACCCTCATCCCCTGCCCACGGGGGTGAGCCCGGACACCAGACTGACTGAGGTTCTCCTCCCTCAGCGTGGTGGCTGGGAGGGGTTTCCTCTTCCCCCACCCCGGAGAAGCTGGGTTTTCCCCAAAAACAGTGTGTGGCGGATGCTGCGAAGGCGATAGGAGCCAGCCTGGTGTCTGGGTGGCAGCTGTGACACTGGGCTGCGGTACAGGGGGACCTGGGGACAGCTGGAGGTGTTACCCGGTGGCACCAGGAGCCTGGGTGTTGGGCAGGGGTGGGCTTCGCCCCTCTGCTCCCCAGGGGGGCCCTTTGGACTCCCTGTTGGAGCCCCCAGCGTGCCCACAGTGGCTGTGCTCACCGGGAGCCTGCTGTGGGCACCCCGGGGGTGGGCAGAGCCCCCAGCCCTCTCCTGGTGTCCCGGGATCAGCACGGCCTCCCCCCAGCTCCCCGTGTCCCTTCTCCCTGCGCCGCTGACTCAGGCCCTCCTCTGCCACCCACCCTGCCAGCTGCCCACGCCGGGGGGCTCGCCAGGCACCGGCTCCCGTGGGCAGCACCGGAGACTAAGCGATGTCCTGCCGAGCCTGGCACCCGGGTGTGTGTCTTGTTGAGATTTGAGCCTTACTCATCTTCACGCTCTTCCTCCCTCTGTCCCCACGAGCGAGCGGGGCCCGGCTGGGGGAAGGCGACGTGTTTCACAGACAACACGGTTCTCCCCGAGCCCGCTCGTGAGGAGGCAGCGACGTGGGCAGGGGGGGCATCCCCGCACCCCACACTGATGGAGGGGGACCGAGCCATTGGGAACAACCCCCCCCACAACCACCACCCCCCTCCCCACTTCACCCGCAGAAGCTTCCAGTTGTGGCTGAGTCACTCCCGCTGTAGCTCCTTCTCTCCTTGTTTTGGATGGAAGTTTTCCATGGAAACCCACGCTGGGCCAGGCGGCGGGCTGGGATAAACACGGCTGAATCACAAAAGGCCGTTTTCGCCAAGAGCTGTCAGATGGCAACGACAGTGCGTGCGGGGGGAGAGGGGGGGGTAGGGGGGGGGCAGGGGGATGCCCTGGCCTTTTGGGGGGCACCTCTCCCGGCACCCCCCCCCCCCCC